GACCCACAGGTTGAGAACCACTGCTCTATAAGGTTATGGAAAATCATTCCGTTCCATGTTGCCTTACTTCAATTTGGAACAAACATCAAATCTTCAAAAAGCTCAAATATCTTTGTTTCAAATCAATATAAACTCAACTAATCCACTACAATATTAAATACAAAACATTTGGCTTTTACTAAATCATATATAACTGGATTCTATTATCAGCTAATATGGCCAAGGAGACCAAGTATGAGCAGTTTTGATGACTAGATGGTTCATGTCTATATCCCAAAATACTAGAGAAGCTCTTCACCAACCTTGGCTGCAGGGTTTCTCTGTGTAGCTTTGGAGCCTGTCCTAGAACTCACTGGGTAGACCAGGCTGGCGTGGAACTCACAGAGATCCACCTGCATCTGTCTCCCAAGTGCTGGGACTAAAGGTATGCGCCAACACTGCCTGGCCCAGAGTGAGACTCTTAAAAAATAAGGACTAGGCAGGGTTGTAGTTTAGTCCCTAGCATGTGTTAGAACCCTGGGTTCAGTGCCATTACATCAAAAAAGTAACATATAATAAATGTTTAATGATAATTAAATACTGAATGCAATATCTCTAACCTATTAAAGTCTAACTACATTCTAGCCTCTTCTGAAAAAGCTAGCACAAACCTATCTGGAATACAGGACTTTCTAAACACAGTAACAGAAGATTTTTCATTTTATGTTACCAGCTTTCCCCCATTTGGGGACTTGAGTTATTTTAACTCTTTTATTTGTATTTTTCAAAAACTTAAGCTCTATATAATGTTCGTGTAGTTTTTAAAATCAGAAAATGTCAGGTGGTGGTGGTGCATACCTTTAATCCCAGCACTAGGGAGGCAGAGGCAAGTGGATCTCTGAGTTCAGGCCAGCCTGGTCTACACAGTGAATTCCAAGATAGCCAGGGCAACACAGAAACCCTGTCCTAAGAAACCCAAAAGGAATAGAAAGAAAAAAAGGGCTGGGAAAGACTGTTCAGTGACACAGTACCTGCCTAGCGTGTATAAAACCCTGAGTTCAATCCCCAGCACTACCCCCTACACACACTGAAGTCAAGTATGTTGACTCTTTTAAAGAAATGATCTCGGGAGGCAGAGGCCAGTGGATCTCTGTGAGTTCGAGGCCAGCCTGGTCTACAAGAGCTAGTTCCAGGACAGGCTCCAAAACCACAGAGAAACCCTGTCTCGAAAAACCAAAAAAAAAAAAAAAAAAAAGATTAATTAATAGTACAAAACTATTTTTACATGCAAAAATAAAAACACCCCCACTTTAGGGACTAGTCTCTGAGAGGTCTCGACCTCTTACAGAATAGCAGCAAGAATCCTGGAGCCTTTCACCTAGCTCAGAGATTAGCTTCACTTTTTTTTTTTCAGTTTTTCCGAGACAGGGTTTCTCTGTGGTTTTGGAGCCTGTCCTGGAACTAGCTCTTGTAGACCAGGCTGGCCTCGAACTCACAGAGATCCGCCTGCCTCTGCCTCCCGAGTGCTGGGATTAAAGGCGTGCGCCACCACCGCCCGGCTAGCTTCACTTTTGATAGAAACCACATCCTTAAGGATTCTGCTTCCTAAATTTTCTATAAATCCAAGGATTCAGCCTGGGAGGAAAGGGTAAAAATTCGATCTTTCATACAACTAAAAATTGGCTTTCTAAAGGAATGATGTCCAACTCTGACTGTTCGGTAGTTTATATTCCTTATTTCTAGCATTTCAAAGTGTAATAGAGAGGCAGAGGCAGGCGGATCTCTGTGAGTTCGAGACCAGCCTGGTCTACAGAGCTAGTTCCAGGACAGGCTCCAAAGCCACAGAGAAACCCTGTCTCGAAAAACCAAAAAAAAAAAAAAAAAAAAAAAAAAAAGTGTAATAGAACTACAGAGATTTCCCACGTGCCCACCACGTACATACAGCTCATCACTGGTATGTTCTTACTTTAAAAGAAAGTCTAACACTGCACTGTAAGTCTAACTAATAAACTAGTTGATGTGTTTCAAATCACCTAAGAAAACCAAAAACAAATTTACTGATGGTGTCTTTGGGGAATTCTGTCTGCATTGTTGATGGGCCAAATTTCTTAGAGAATAAGAATTTTAGATAGTTCATCTTTTTTATAACTATTCAAAACCCTAAATTAAATATAGGAACTACAGGTACAGGAGGAGATAGTCATTACCATTTATTACACACTCACTAATCTTCTCCATAGGGGAGGGGAGAAATGTTTGGTAGTATTTAAAGTGGGTAAATGTTGGAATCAGGATATTAACGTGGGCCGGGCGGATGTTCATCTTTTTTATAACTATTCAAAACCCTAAATTAAATATAGGAACTACAGGTACAGGAGGAGATAGTCATTACCATTTATTACACACTCACTAATCTTCTCCATAGGGGAGGGGAGAAATGTTTGGTAGTATTTAAAGTGGGTAAATGTTGGAATCAGGATATTAACGTGGGCCGGGCGGTGGTGGCGCACGCCTTTAATCCCAGCACTTGGGAGGCAGAGGCAGGCGGATCTCTGTGAGTTCGAGACCAGCCTGGTCTACAAGAGCTAGTTCCAGGACAGGCTCCAAAACCACAGAGAAACCCTGCCTCAAAAAACCAAAAAAAAGAAAAAAAAGGATATTAACGTGGTTGAATGTTTTTAAGATAGCGCATACGCAAACTTTTAACTGACAAGAGGGTCTCTTCTGTTTCAAGAAACACTAGATCAGAGAAAGGGGCTAAGGCTCCCTGTGAAGGAAAATGGGACCTCGCCAGACAACCTGAGTTCGATTCCTGGGCTCTCATAAGAGGGAGAGAATCAATTTCCTCAAATTGTCCTCTGATCTCCACAAAACTCCCTGACACAGACACACCCATACAACATTATTATTACTATTTTTGTTATTATTATTATTGTTATTTTGTGGGTTTTTTGGTTTTTTTTCGAGACAGGGTTTCTCTGTGGCTTTGGAGCCTGTCCTGGAACTAGCTCTGTAGACCAGGCTGGTCTCGAACTCACAGAGATCCACCTGCCTCTGCCTCCTGAGTGCTGGTATTAAAGGCATTCGCCACCACTGCCCGGCTAACATAAATTTTTTTAACAACTAGAATTAAAAGACACCATGTCATGTAGACCATCTAAAGGACAGTAAGAGCTTACATTGCCTAGAGAAATTAGGCCATTTAACACTGAGAAACCTCACGTTTACTACTTAGGATAGAAATTAAGAAGTTACTCTAAATATAGTGAGAATAATTAAAGCAAAATGAGTTTCCTCTACTTTTCCATCAACAAAATGGGTAAACAAGGACTTTTAAAGGTGGCATTTTTCCCCCCAACGGCAGTGTTCTTCAAATGCACTCAATCTGTAATCCGGCACATCTACTTACTTCTTCTTAATGAAGAAAAGGGCTGAGGACAGGTTTACCAGCACCCAACAGGCACTGTCACAAGCAGTGCCCCACACAGGGCGGCCACCATTTTGAGCAGCAGGATTTAATTACACTGCTCAGGATTTCCCACCAACTAAAAGGAAACACAGGACATCACAAGCGTTAAGTATTCCTTCCCCGTTAAGATTCCCAAATCGTTGGTCTTTGTAGTCCGATTTCACTACAAAATTTCATCACAAAAATGTTCGTTACATCCATGTTCAAAGTTTGTAAACAAATTATTTTGAGGGTTCGTGAATTTTTCGTACAACGTGGAGAAGTCCATGACCTGAAGAACTCAAGAATCCTACCAACCTACTCGCATTGTTTAAAAGTACCTCCAAAAGCCAACGAGCGGACCTAGTTTCAATCTACAGTCCTTTTCATTCTCCTAACCCAGCTCTTGGGACCATTTTAGCTTTCCGATTTCCTAAGTCCGCAACAAGATCAAGTTCCCACGCTTCATTCATAGGAGAAGCAAATAATATTTCTGCAAACACAGCTGACTTTAAAAATAAAGGTGTGCAAGGACCCCAGGAGTCAACAAATTAACAGCAAAGTTCATGGGGGTGGAGAGGCAATCACAACGGTCAGAACTTCCAATTAAATTACTTTAATCTCGACTACTTCAATTGTAAAGCCATCCACAAAACTGAAAACAATAAACTGACCGAGAGTTCCGTGTACCTTTGTCCCAAGAAAAGGTGGTTAAGTCACAACACAGATTACCATAGGAAAGAAAGCAACTCAACCTGCCAACCAATCATTTATTTCACACCTCCATCCAAAAAAATAAAGATGAGATGCTGCGGCTGCTTTGGGCCGTGTTACACATTCCGTTTCCCACACTCCCGCCACTGTCCTTGCCGCTAGGACCCTCCAATTTTAGTCCAGTTATCACAAAGCACCTTCGGCCCGGCCAGAAAGCCATCCCTTCCCTCGCTCGCCCGGGGGAATAATGGTGGCGAAATCAACTCAGAGAGCGAGCTACCCGAAGAGCTGCACTGCACGTTCCTCAGAAGAGGAGCTGGGTTTTTTTGGGGGGGGGGGTACCCAAACTTTCCCTCTACAGCCTCGGCGTCCCGAGCGACGGTGAGCGCCAGGCGGTGCCACAAGGAGAACGCCCCAAGCCCAGGCCCCATCCCCGCCTGCCCGAAGTTGACTGAAAGAGCCGAGAGTTACGGGCCTCCGCCAGTCGGCCAAGTGCGCCCCGGGCGAGCGTCTCCCGAGCACCGCCGACCCTGCCCGGGGCCACTCCCGCCCGGCCGCAGCGGCCCCCCGCTCGTGCGCCCGCACCCCGTCCCCGTCCGAACAGCTCCCGCGGGGAGCGCGCGCGCACTCTCGCCCTCGGGCCGGCCCAGAAGTCCCGGGAGAGCCCCGGGGTCCCGCGCCGACAAAAGCTGCCTCGACCCCCGCCTGCGAGAGCGCGCGGGGCCGCGGGGAGCCCGTGCCGGTCGCCAGCCTCGTGCCCGCCGCCGAGCCCCCTCGCCGCCCGCACTCCGCGCCAAGTCGGCGGCCCGCGACTCCCCGCGGAGAAGCGCGGAGAAAGGGCGCAGCGCCCGCCACTCACCTCAATCTCGAAGTCGGGCAGGCGGAACGCCGTGCGAAAGAGCGAGCAGAAGTGCGCGATGGCCGGGACTTCCCACCAGGAGCGGAGCTCGCCCAGCCCGGCCGCGCCGCCCTCCTCCGGGCACATCTCCCCGCCGCGCTCGCCCGCTCGCCCGCCCGCTCTCCCCCGCTCCGACTCCGGCCGCGGGCAGCGCCTCTCAGCGCGCGGCGGCTCCCGCCGCTCGGCGTGAGCACAAGCTGAGGCGCGCCGGGCGGGGGGCGGCGGGCCGAGTCACTGAAGCGGCCGCTGCTCGGGCAGCCGGCGGGGGCCGCGCGCTCGCCCCGTCCCGCCGCGGCCGTGCGGCCGCCCCTAGTCCCATACAATATAATCCACTCAGCGCGGAGGAAAACAGATGGGGCTGGGGGTGGGGAGGGGGCCCGGAGGAGGCCTGGGGGAGGGGCCGCCCACGAGGAGGGGGCGGGGCCGGCGCGCACCACAACAACAACCCCGCCCCCACCCCGGCGCGGACAGCTGCACCGGGGCGGGGGGGGAGGGGGAGCGGGCCAGCCGCGCCCTCCCGGGAGGGGCCGCGCGTGACACGGAGGGGGCCGCGCGCTGCCGGCAGGCGGGCGGGTAGGGGGGGAAGCGCTCTGCGGTGCAGGTGTTTGGGGCCGGGGAGTTGGGCGACTTTGGCGACAGAGGACAATAAGGGTCTCTCCCACCCCCACGCGGCCTCAGTGGTCGAGTCCTTTTAAAGGGCCCGCTGGGTGGTGCTCCGGCTGGGGGCTAGCTCCAGGCGTGCGCACGTGTGGGGTTTCAGTTAGGAGCGCGGCAGAGGGTGGTGCGGGCGAGCGAGTGGGCTGGCTGGCCACGCTACGAGCGGGCGGCTCCGGGGAACGAAGCGCTTTCCACCTGTTCTCGAGCGCTTTTATTCCATCGGAGAACGGTACTTCCAGAAGCGCTCCGAGTGCCTCCTCTTCTCCCCAGGGAAGAGGGTGGCGGGGCTGGCTAGGCTGGAACGGTGTCGGCTGGAGGGTAGAGTGTGTGGCGGGAAGGGTGGAGGGGGGGGGGAGGCACCAATCAGCAGCCTAGCGGGAAGAGCAATTTCCCCCACCCCAGGGAACGGACACGTGCAGCCGCACTAGAGGGGACTGGCTTGGAGCCCTGCGACTGCCCTCGCCGTAGCCTTGCTTCGGGCGCGAGCGCTCACAATGTGGCTCAGAGGCGGGGGGATGGGGAAAGAGGCTCGGGACTCAGGGACGTGTGTCCGGGTGGGGGTGGAGACCTGCCCAGGCTAAGGGAATGTACTGGGGTGGAAGGGTGCCGTGTAGGGCGTCGGAATTCTGCTAAACCGGAAGGGGGGAATCACCTCCAAAAACAACCCAGAAGTTTGGAAGAACTACAATTGTATTGGTCATTGCGCTTGGGCAGTTCTCAAGTCTCCGAGTCCTGCCTGGTTCTTAACGCCGCTTCTCACGAAACACTGCCCCCCTGACGTGCTACTGAGCGATAGGCACAAGCTGGGCAGAATTAAAGCAAGGATGAGGAACGAGTTGATGAGATATTTGTAGAAGTCGGGTGACTGGGTAATTAATTCCACCTTCCCCACCCTCACCTATTCTGACCATTTTAATAACCTAAATTCCCAAGCTATTTCAAGTCAATCTTGTGAACCAACTAATCTTAAATTACTTTATCTTCCCAAGCACTGCCCTACAGGTAGGGTTTAGCAACCCCAAACTAAACGGTATCTGGATTTTTAGGGTTGGTTGGTTGCTTTGCTTCTAAAGCTCAGCTACTCCGTAGATGCCTCGGGTTTTGGGTTTTTTGTTGTTGTTATTATTTGTGACAAGGTTTCTGCTCTGTAGCCCAGGCTGGCCTCAAACTCTAGGCACTCTGCCTTAATCGTCAGCCTCCAGGCTTGGCTTTCTCTGAACTCCTGTGCCACACCTTTTTCCTTTGAAAAGGAGTTCATAAAGCCCAGACTCTACCAACCAGCTCTCTGTCTTTCATCTGTGTAGCCCTGGCTGTCCTGGAACTTAATTTGTCCACCCGGCTGGCCTCAAACTCAGAAATCCACTGAACTCCCGAGTGCTGGAATTAAAGGCGTGGGCCACGACCACTAGGCTCTGTTTTTATCTTTTATCATCATCTAACCTTATTGACATCTCAGTTGGCACTACTGTCCAGCGTTAGCAGTATCAGGAAGCAGAAAGGTAAAAGATTTGGCTACTATCATGGTTATATTATTTGTGTTTTAATAAATAAAGCTTGCCTGAAGATCAGAGGGCAAAGCAACCATACTAGTCAGCCGTACAGGGAGTGGTGGCACAAGCCTTTAATCCCAGGATTTGGGAGACCAAGGCAGACAAATTCCCGTGGGTTCAAGGCTATCCTGGGGTACACAAACTCAATCAGAAACAGATCCAGGTGGTGATGGTTCACACCTTTAGTCCCGGTATTTTGGAGTCACACACCTTTAATCCCAGCTCTAGGAAGGTGGAGACAGGAGTGATGTGGCTTGGAGAGAGGATTATAAAAGTGAAGAGGCGGGAACTCACTGGAGTGTGGAGTCTGAGGATTCCTGAAGACAGGATCTTTGCCCATTTGTTCTGAAGATAGGTAGAGGTAAAAGGTCTCTCTAGTGGCTTACTGCTTTGCTTTTCTGATCTTTAGCTTGAATCCCAGTATCGGTCTCTGAGCATTTATTATTCGTGCTATAGGCTACTCAGTAATCACTGTGGTACTTGAATGCTCTTGACACTCACACTCCCCCATTGTAGCCTCCCCTTTTCACCAGCCACACCTGACAAAAGTCATGAAAGTCAGCAGAGCGGTTCTGAAGCTGGAAATGTTGCTCTTCCACCCTCATAGGGGTCAGACATGGTCTCCTGCTCAGGGTGGATTGGCCTCTGAAGCCAGGGTCTACTTGAGTGTCCCAAATGGGTTCACATGATTTGCACATCAGCCATAGGATGTTGTCATTATTTAACTCTGGTTTAGTATGGCTCTGTGGTTTGGGCCTGCTTCCTTCTCTGCCTCTTTACCACCCACAGTTCCACCCCAACCTCTACCTGCAGTCTGGATCCCACCCAGGCTCTAAGAGTGAAGGAACTGAAAATGCCTTGGGTCTGACCGATTGGACTAGACTTTACTTCCATTTGAACTTCTGCTTCTTGGAATTGCTAACCCGGGATCTTTGCCCCTGCTCTGAACATTTGGTTCCCCTTTCCCCTTGTGCTTCCCTGCTCTGGACCTGTTTTCTGAACTCATCTAGAATCTAGACTAATGACCCCTGTGCGAATCTTTGAACCTTTGCCCTCTTTGACTTTTCCCTTGTTTCTGAGTGGAGTTGCAACTCCTGTTTTGTTCTGGCATAGCCCAGTTTCTCCCTCTGATCGTGGGGGTTTGCATCTTCCTGAACCATGTCTCGGTCTAGCTCTTTTTACTGGAGCCAGTGCCTCTAACCTCAAGTGACCCTTATGGTACCTGGAAATAATTCTCTCATATTCTCTACAACTTTATTTACATAACCTCTTCTCCCTGCGTATTTTCCATTAAATGGGAAATTGGGCCTGATAACCTGAGTTTGAGTCCCACCCACATGGTGGAAAGAGAACCAAACACCACGCATGTGACCTGGCACAAATGAACACCCACACACATAGAAAAAGACATAGTGGGACATGCCTTTAATGTTAACACTTAGGAGGTAAAGGCCCGAGAATCACAAGTTCAAGTTCAACCTCTATTACACAGAACAAATTTAAGGCTAGCCTGGACCACATGAGATTCTGTTTCAAAAACAAAATAGGGCTGGGCATCGGTGGTGTAGGTCTTTAATCCCAGCACCGGGAGACGGAGGCAAGCAGATCTGAGTTTGAGTTCAGGCTGGTCTACAGAACTAATTCCAGAACATCCAGAGCTACACAGAGGGGGGGAAAAAGTGCCACAAAATGGCTCAAGGAATAAAGGTGCTTGCCACCAAGCCCTGGTGACCTGAGTGAGTTCCATCTCCATGCTAGAAGGAGAGAACTGACTCCAGCAAGGCATGATCAAAAGAGGATCCACCGATCACCTTTCAACTGCCTGCGAAGACTACTTACAACTTGACTTCTAAGCGGGAAGTGTTCAAAGCGCTTCCTTGATGTTGCGTTCCTGAAACACCCTAATTTAGCTACTCTTACACAAGAGATTGCGCGCATCCCATTCACTTACCAAGCTCTTGTGGCTTTCTCTTACTGATTTTGTAGTTGCTTGCTCTTGTTATTGGAGTTGTCTTTTCTTCTCAACTAGACTTTTTGAGGAAATCCTCCCTGATATTCACCATTCGTGTAATGAGGATGTATTTGATGGAATATACCATCAAGAAGCTGAGAAAAGCTGAGCATAGGAGCCTGCCTGCAGCCTTCTAGTACCTTTCTGCTCTCAGTCATGGGACCCACTCACTCACAACAATGTAGGCCATAGACTTTTCTCAGCAAACTTCCCACATCTCTCCCAGCTCTGGCGTCATTTTGCCATATGCTGCCTGGATGCTTCTCTATCAACTTATATTCAACATTAAAGACTGAGATATAAAAACCTAAGGTTGTGGGACATGATGGAACATGCCTTTAATCCCAGTACTTGGTAGGTAGAGGCAGGCAGATCTCTGATTTTGAGGGTAATCTGGTCTACATAGTGAGCTACAGGCCAGCCAGGGCTTTATAATGAGATACTGTCTCAAAGCAAAACAAACAAACCCTAGGTTTAAGGATGTGGCCCAATCCCATTCACCTACCAGGCCCTGGATTACATCATCAACACTACAAAAAAAGAAAGCAGCTTGTCAGTGGTCCATGCCTTTTTTCCTAGCACTCTGGAGACAGAGGAAGGTGGACCTATGAGTTTGAGGCCAGCCTGGTCTACAAAGCTAGTTCCAGGATAGCTGGGACGACACAAAGAAATCGGGACTTGGTCCACGCAGTGGTGGTACACGCCTTTAATCCCAGCTCAGGAGACAAAGGCAGGCAGATCTTTGTGAGTTCAAGGCTGGTCTATGAGAGCTAGGTCCAGGACAGGTTCCAAAGCTACAGAGAAACCCTGTCTTGATAAACCAAAAGAAAAAGAAATGAAAAGAAATCCTGTCTTAGAAAAACAAAAAACACCTCACTAATAAACTTTTTTTTTTGTATTTTGAGACAGGGTTTATCTGTGTAGCCTTGGCTGTCCCAGAATTTACTCTGTAGACCAGGCTGACCTTGAATTCACAGAGATCCACCTGCCTCTGCCTCCAGCATGCTAGATGAAAAGCACACTTAACCATTGCTCGGCTATCAGTAATAATTTTTCTAATTAAATTTTCATTTTTTGGCAGCTCTTGGTGGTGCATACTTTT